ATATGCTGAGAACCCTGCTAGACAACTTATTTAGATGTAGCTTCTAAAACATTATGGATTAAGAAGAGACAAGCATGCAAGGCTTAAAGTACAAACGACAGAAATGTATGCACAAGGCCCACAAGCAAATACTAGACAGCTGTTAGAAAAGCCAAGCTGAATTACCACAGACATACAATGAATTAATGTGGATAAAAAGAGTTTCACAGGCTTCTCATTTTCACCATTTACATATGATTGATATTCCACTCACTAACTCTCCAATGAATTAGTTTATCTCATCTAAGAGACAGAATCACCACATGAAATCTTTGAAACCACCACATCAATAAATCAATGACTCAAAATAAACCATACATTTTCTTAAACGGATGTCAAACTAGGAACAAATGATTACCTGGAACAAGGCCCAACTCACAATTACCACCTGACTAAGAGTACTTCTACAATGTAAGAAACAGTCCTTGCTATTATCTTAAAAAGAAATAAAAGAAACATGGATTGAAGCATAATAGCAAAAGCCATCTGAACCAGCATAATGTTGACTAAATCATATGCTACTCTTCAGTGGCAATCAATTACACTTAAGCGTGATAGTTGTGAGAAGTAAGAAAATTATTCTTGGCACGACTGACTGTGAGTGACTGAACATCTCTTGAGGGCATAATAAAGAGAACCACATCTTAAACCTTTTAGACCTGGCATCCATTACTATGAATGTGCATGTGACTCTGCTTTAGATCTTGTGGATGACAGGTTGTATGTTTAACAGCTAATCAAATAGCAATATCGACCTTCATATTTTATTTTAGAAAAATAAAGCACATTGACGACAGACATAATGGCACTTTAGCCAAAGTGCAAAAGTAATGGACCTTTAAAACTTTTTTATATTAGCAGGCATCTCATAGCAGTTTGATAGATTTATTGTAAGTTTAAACTGATTTGTATAAGTCCTATTTCAACTGTAGCTTTACAAACTTTGGCCATTAAGCCTTAATTTTTAACAGATCTTTTTTTATGTCCAAAAATCCGGGTTTAAAGGAAATAATCCACAATCCTGTCCACAATTTGCTGCATGCCATGCTTTGTGGTCTTTTATTGTGTTGTTGTGAATGGACAATTAATCAGTGCCATCTATTTTAAACTACATTACATACCTTCTTTTCCATGCATTGCTCTTTGAAAAATCAATGCTTGATTAATTGCAAAAACCTGGTCTTTGCTGAGCAAAAGGATTATGTTGTCTAAATTAAGGAGCACACACAACATCATATCAGCATCTCTCTTTCACCTGATTATGTTCTTGTTCAACTTTTTGATGTATTAGAAAGCAGTAATATTGTCTGTAAAAGGGCAGACAACAAAGTGAGCTCATATTAGGAGCATAATGTATTATTAGGAATACATTAATAATGTGAACCAGCCACATGTATGGACAAACTGTCTGTCTTCACTGCCTTTGAATGCTGCTAGTATATGGCCATAAGAAATACTGAGACACTTTCTATTTTTCAATATTAGCCCTGAATCCTCAGACTAGACCTACTACACAGCAGTGTTCAGCTATGTCTGCCCATAGTGCTGTTTGTCAGGCTGGCTATACACATTGTGACAAATCACCAGCAGGCAGCCTTGTTAAAACACTGATGTGGTTTAATGGGTGATGTCCGAGACCTGGGTACATCTGATGAGCTTTCAGCAGACATTAGTGACCAGACATATCCACTAGAGCAATCACAATTCTGGCTGAAGTTTGCCTGTACTGTATTTCTTTTTCACATAGTGAAAGTTATTTCTAAATTAAATCTGGACTATGCAGCCTTTTTGGTTCTACGCTGGCTAAATCATTACGAACATCTCATCTAAAAGTTGTCGACATTCAGATACAGTAGGAGGCTAGCCTGAACCCACAAAGCCCAAAACAGCGACTTAATTCAGCTACCAAAGTGCCTGCAACAAACTGAAGAGAAAAACGAGCCTTCTTATGCATTTTCAGCCTCAGCCAAGCTCACCCATCCATGAAAATCCCATCTTAGGGAGAGAGGGGGTGAAGACCTGCGAGCACACACACATTCACTCGCACACAGCAGACAGTAAAGGACACGCTGCCAGATCCTCACTAAAGCCCTTTATCCTTATCATAACTACTCCCACAATTACTCACATGAGTGGTTTACCTGTTTCTGCCAAGCCATGCTGCATTTTTACTGTCCTAGTGATACGAAAACCTCTAGACACCAAACATTAACTGGGCCACTACAGACAGGCACACACAGCGGTTACATTATGCTAGAGTATGAGAGTGTGAGATGCAATATTTAAAGCATAGACAGATACACAAGGTGGCATGTTCACTATACACACACCGTCTGAAATAATTTCAAGATGACTACAAACAGCCGCTTCTGCCGTTTACTTTACATCTCTGGGCATGTTCATTAAAATCTTTGAGCTTTGAAATGGGAAGGACTCACTCTCAATGGCATAATGAGCAGACAGCATAACAAGAAGATGAGGCTGATTTAACTCCACTTACAAATTTACACAAAAAATAAATGGTCTTAATTACACAGATCAACTAAGTTTTCAGAAGTGCCAAGAGAGAAGATAAACTGCCTATTTAAATATGAGAACAGTGTCCCTTCTACGGTAATAAGAGCTCCACAACACACCAAGCCATATTAACATGCACATGATCCCACAACAAATACTTTATGTATAAAGTCCAACATTAAATATGCATGTTTTATACTCTAAGGGGAAATGTGTCTAGTAGTGATGACAAATCATTTCAACAAATAGTAGAGCTCAGTCTTGCTGTGCTATTGGATGAATGTTTTTTCAAAGGTCAATGCTAGCAATTGGAACACAAGGGTTACATACACACTGCAGCTACATTTGGTTGTCAGTTCACCTTTTAGTGCTTAAATCTGTTCTGTACACACAGAGTTCAGTAATTTATGGGAGTGACCACCACAACAGAATTAAGTCCTGAAAAATTCAGATAGTGACAACTGAATTTACAAAATCGAATGCAGTGCGTACTAAACTAAATAACTAGTTATTAATGACATATTTAAAATGTCTTCTTGACTCATTCGTGTTGCCAGATCTTGCCAGAAAAGACAGCAAACAAGAACAAGCCCATAATAAATGTAAATAAATCAAAATACTTTATCTTGGAAATAAGACCAAAATGTTCACGACCTGAACCAGCCTACTTTATTAATTCCATAAACTGTATGGCCTTGTGAGCCCAAACAAAGAATAAGTTAACATGGCAACACTTCAAGAGCGCAATCTGTGACTCAGCTTTCCCAACATAACAAAACATGACAGTTTTGTCGACAGTGGTTTAGTTAAAATTGCAAAACATATAAATTCTTTGGTCACTGTGTTACGTCCTGAGACGTATTTTATTTATGATTTGTTCTATGTGCTTTGTGGTGTTTTCTTGTTTGTTTGTTTTTCCCCCTTGTCTACTGCTACCATTCGCATGCAGGTGATTGGGTCCACCTGTTGCTGATTTTCTGCCCATTCACCTCAGCTCCACTGATTGGCTCCAGCCAGGAGAAAGCCAGCATATAAAGCCAGCACTGCCTCACAACAAGCTGAGAGGGAGAGGGTTGCAGATTGTAACCTGTCACACAGCCTTCGGTTCGCTGGCTCCAGATAATGTTATTATGTCTGTTGTTATTAAGTGCTAATCATTGGTGCCACTGTGGGTTTAGTTGGAGACTTGTAAGTTTTAGAATTTAAGTATTTTGTAAGGAAACTTGTAGGAAGGTGGGTGCCTTTTTCTTTCATTTCTTTTCTCCTGGTTATTTGGGAAGTCAAGGAGATAGGGAAGTTCATTGTTATTTATTTTCTTTTGGTTTATGTATAGGTAAGTTATGGTTAAAACTGAATTAGAAATCTTTTTGTTTGTTGTGTTGGTCTTTGCCCCCTCCTGAACCTTTATTTTTTTTTCTTATGATTTAATAAAAAGTTAAGTTTTCTTTTGAGGAAGGTGGGTGCCTTTTTCTTTCATTTCTTTTCTCCTGGTTATTTGGGAAGTCAAGGAGATAGGGAAGTTCATTGTTATTTATTTTCTTTTGGTTTATGTATAGGTAAGTTATGGTTAAAACTGAATTAGAAATCTTTTTGTTTGTTGTGTTGGCCTTTGCCCCCTCCTGAACCTTTATTTTTTTTCTTATGATTTAATAAAAAGTTAAGTTTTCTTTTGTTTGGAGGTGTGTTATTGGGGCTGGAGACAAGAGGTCCCTGTGCTTTCTCTCGCCAAAAATGTGTTACTGCTAGGTCCATTACCTCTAGACTAAGGGGGCTAGCATGTAACAAGTGGTGGCTCGTCCGGGATGCAATAATAATATTTTTGCCCAAAGTAATATTGCTTTGGGCAAAAATAGCGGCTATCAAGTACGATACGCCAGGATGTTGTGTTTACTGCGGTGTCAATCATGGAAATTTCAGTCAGTTCCCTCTAGACTAAGGGGGCTAGCATGTAACAAGTGGTGGCTCGTCCGGGATGCAATATAATAATATTTTTGCCCAAAGTAATATTACTTTGGGCAAAAATAGCGGCTATCAAGTACGATACGCCAGGATGTTGTGTTTACTGCGGTGTCAATCATGGAAATTTCAGTCAGTTCTGTTCCATAGACACACAAAATGTTAATTCAGTGGATTCACTCCCATTTTTAAATGCGGTTGTCACTCCCGAAGCTTTACATTGTGTACATAGCCAAGGTGTGCCAGATTTTACCCACCCCCTGTCACTTTCAGTTACTAACAACACATCTGATATCGACAACATACCCCCGTCAAAGCACTGACTCGTCAATCATCACAGAAAGCCCCAACATGAAGTCCCAAGGGAGGAGAGGATGACAAATGAAATCAAGAGGTAAATAAGTTAATCAATGGATGAATAATAGATTAGGCAGCAAGTGGCCCCTTCGAGCACTGCCACGAATGCAATATTAATAACCAGCTCTTACTGTTCGTCTCGGTGTCATCACTGACACTGTTAGGAGGAGCATGGGCTGAATAACACACAGCTGATCTGTACATTCGATCCGGATTACGGATTTTCTTCAGTCCTTCAGGAAGCCAAGAGAGAATGGATAAGAAAAAAAGAATTCTGGGAAAAGTACACATTCCCGGATGTACAACTTTGTCTTATTCTTTATTTCCCCCATGCACATAGCAGGAACTTATAAGAATGTGTACCAGGGTCAGCAATGTCGTGTCTGCCAAACCCCAGTCTCCTTCCCAACAGCAAGCCCATGCATCCCAAATGTGTCCATCTCCATGCTGAAGAACACCTCTCCCAAACAATATGCACCATTCGGCCTCAGAGTTCAGTGTGCCTATTTACTTCTCCCCCTTTTTTATCAAGCACATTCAAGGGATTACTTTGGCCTAAGGTGCTGCCTTGTGGGGAGAAAATGCAGTTTAATTTGCATGCAGGGGTATGGACGGGGAATATAAAAGCACTCAGTTCCCTTGTAACTTAAGACCACATGCACATTTCATTAACAATGATAAAGTATCATAAATGGCTCCAGATGTTAATGGCTAGAAGTGTTACACTGCCAAGAGAGAAAACAATCTAGACCACTGTATATACAGTAGTAACCCCAATGCTAACTGGTTTGTTCAAAATCACCTGATATGTTGAGCGTGTTTGCTTGTTTTTATTTTATTTTTTCACTTTTCAATCTTACTGATAAATCTGTAGGTGCTGAAATAAACAGTCAAGATACAGCCCCTAACAGGTAGCAATGAGGGCAGCAATCAAATTCATTGTGGTCCCAGGGATTTTTGGTGAGGCTCAATTTTAGTAAGCTACACCAATCGATGGAAGTTAATGTGTGTTTCTGTGTGAGGCAGGTAGGGAAGGATCGGGACAAGCTGAAAGGATCTGTCACAACTCCCCAGGAAGAAGTGGCATCTCCATCTATCTCTGCCATTCACCAATTCAATTAAAAAAAAAAATCTGAAAGCATATTCTCAAACTAAGAACTGTGGGAAAAGACTATGCAGAGATCTTTAAAAATTAATTTTCTACATAATGGCTCAATATGTCATAAATCCCTCTTTGGAGAGCTTGTATCCTTCTTGTTTCTACTAATAGTCAGTTGTTTTGATAAACAGCACTCTAGTATCTGAAAAAAAACATAAAATTCTAATAGATATAGAAATATGTTAAATGAAATTTGCCATAGTATATGCCATGGTTTACTCAAGAAGCATAATATTTTGACACACAAAGAGATAACTAGTTTAGGTAGTTAGCCTCAGTGCTGTTTTGAAAAAAAAAACTTAGATTTATATTTATGGTGTATTCTTAGCTGTCACGGTGGTAAAAAATGTAACAGTGAGCACTTAAGAAGCTCAATACCACCCCCTTGTGGATTTCTATATGTTCATATCCCGGGTTTGTCTGGAGTCATGTTTTAAAGTCACTTTATATTAGGATAATTTATTCTATCTATAGTTTATCAATATGTATAATATACTACACAAAAGTGAGGTTTTATGATCAAACTTATCTTTCACCTTCTACTAGGCTATTCAGCATCATGAAAATGGACAGTTTATCATCACACCATGATTTATCAACTCATTTTGTTGGAATAACGAGTGTGTGAGGATAAACACAGATGCTCTACAATCCCAAAAGCTCATCGGTTCTCAACTGGCGGCTCTTCCCTGCCTGCCTCCAAATTTTTCCCCTCGCACACTCTTGTCGTACTAGTAAAAAAATATCCCCGATGTTTCTGACTTACCTTCCGGCTTGTTTTCGGCAGCCATTTCCCCTCCGCGCGCCACATCCTCCTCCTCCTCTTCACGAGCGTTGGGTACCACGCGCGTTCACGCCGAGGACAGCAGCACGAGAAGGGACTGGCGAGGCAGAGGCGAGTCCAGCCAGAGCGCACTCACGATTGGCTGTCGAACTATGACTGACCATGTTGTTCTAAAATGGCTTGCGAGAGCAAAGCAAACATCCTCCCCTTCAAAGTGTCTCTGAGAACCATTGGGTGAAGCGTGATGTGTAGATACACCTTAAGAAGAACCGAACCAATCCAAAGTGAGCGCTCGTGAGACGTTCGCGTGCAAATGAAATGTTTCAAGTTGCTAAATTCAAAGGCAGAGAACGTATTTTTTAGTGTTTGCTCATCTGCAATACGTCTATAGAACATTTCATTCGTAAGCAATTCAAGTCAGGTTATTTATACGTTATGTATACGTGTTTTGCCTTTATTCATATCATAGCTCTGCTACCAGTTAAGGCACTGTAATATTTTTCTACTCAGATTGAACTTTCAACCACTTTGAATTTAAGCATTAATTAATGAAATCGAGCTGAAAACTCATAAAATCACGTAAAATGGCAGAACTCATTGTGACACGTCCAAAGGATGTTTTATGACAAAAAACTATTTTTACAATTTTCTTTAATTTACTAAAAGTGCTTTTTATGTTGTTAAAGCAATTAAGATCATTAAGATTCCATTAAGATAAATATAAAGCAATCCATAGGTTAACCTTGAAGCTGAAGCAACGTTTGGGCTGAATGCGCTAAAATGCTGCGCCATGGTGCTGAACGGACAGCTCCAGGTGGCAGCAGTGTTCTACTGTCCCAGTGCGCTTTCACGAAAAATGTAGCACCCCAGACCTCCAAAATGTCTTATGGTTCACTGAAAGTATCCGAAAAGTATCCTACACTGCTGTGCTTGCGAGAGAAATAGTTTCTGACAGCCTATTCCAATAGTATATGCATAATGCTGTGGTCTGGGTCCCATCTGAATTGCCTAGAAAACCTCAAAATTGCATTTAGGAATATGGAAGTCGCATTATACCCCAGCTGATTAATTATTCGTTAGATTAAGCATTCGTTAATTGCATTGAACACATAGATAATAGCTTAAATGCCTCTCTGCCCGCAGCGAATACCCGCTATGAAATGTGATCATTAAAGCTACATCTTTATTGGTTGCAGTTGCTTGATCACATGAGTGCTTTCCAAATCCTTATCTGTTCATTTTCGAAGAGAAAAATCTTGGATTGTATAAAATATTCTAAATGACCAGTGGAGAAAACATTCGGGCCAGTCTATCAGACGAAACATCTTCGTAATGGAAAAAAACATAACATTGTGACTTTTAAACAACATATTTGTTGACTGAATAAATCAGGTTATATGCACTGTGTATATAGCAATGGTTTAATTTAGGATTAGAACGTGTTCAGAAGGCTAGCAATAATACATGAAGCTCTTGAAAAATGTTGGTAATACAGCTTTTGAGGCATTTGAATTCTCTATGGGACTGAAAATTATACTACAGCACAATTCCTTATGGAACATCTGCAATCTATTCTTGCCAGGATCACACATGGCATCACACAGAGGACTTCATCTCCTTACTTAATTACCATTACATCACACACAAACATCTTTGTTTCCATCCATTTGACTTGGAATAATTTCTACTCTAGCCTACTTTTATTCATCGGTAATTAAAATCCAAGTGGATTTATTTAAAGGTTACAATGACACTGACTTATTATTGGCTATTTGTTCTAACACTAATGGAACTGAACTTGGGTCTGACGTCAACTACAGCTCATTAACTAACCGAATGTTAATTAAAAACAAAAGAGGGAGCCGTTTGACTTTTTAAACTGAATTATTCAATTAAATTAAACTAAATTAGAATGTTGGATGCATAAAATGGGTGAATAAAAGTCTGATAAACATCTTTTAAGTCCACAATTCGAATGTATTTATCATTTCTAGATATTCTTTGTGGATATTCTGTAATGTCGCACTAACCATACTGAAGCTTACATTGCGATCCCAATACACACACCTGCGGTCTTGTCATCTTGAGAGCGAGTGCATGCGACGGGGAGTAACTGTCCCAGTTCGGAAAAAATGCCAAAGCGCAGCGACTTTAACGCACGCTTAGGAACTCACGTACCCGGAAACGCGTAATGTCGAAGAAAACTTTCTAGTGTAAGTTAAATTAATAGAAATTACATATATACTAATCTCTGTACCATTGAAATATGCAACACTTTATATGTTACAAAATGTGGATTTTCTTAACCGTTTGCAACTGTTGGACGGTATGCATGGACTACTAAACACACATTTAGAGGTTTATTGTAAAGTGCAAAGTATTGTACATGGTGTACATGTGTGTCCCTAAAGTTTTACCAACACTTGCGGTCTTCACAACCACTTGAAGACTTGAGCTAAATACAGGAAGGAAATGCGTCATGAAAGTAGACAAATGGTAATGCGCAACGACCGCGAGTGTGGGGCTGGGGATTGGATCTGCATGCATATTTATTGGGACAGGCCCGGAGGACTCGCCCCTACATGCTTTTGGTCAGTGTTTCCTCCCAGCCTGGGGGTGGCGCTGAAGACCTTCATGCGCTTCGTTTCTGCGCACCAAAGTCAGCGTAGTTTGATCTGGCGCTGGGGCGGTGATGAAAGGTGGTAAATATGGCGGCGGCCTTGGAGGAAGATGAAATCGACAATGATGACTATTATTCTCTGTTAAACGTCCGCAGAGAGGTATGACAAATAGTTATTAACCTAGACGTTTTCGGTGAGAGAGCCGCAAGTGACTGGTAAATGCAGGCGCTTCAGGTATCACGCTTTTAAAAAAGGATCCGACAGCATGTCGTTAAGCTGTGGCTCAGTCAGCACACCGTGACCCTTACTTATCATTGTCTTCGTGCAGGAATTTGACTGCGTGGTCACTAATAGATCTGATGCATGTAATATGTAAATGCCTTCTGTTCACTTTAGACTTAAACGTGAAGTATAATCACTAATGATTCTTTTTGGCGATTCTCAACTGTAAAAGTGAAACTGCTTCTAAAGTGTTGACTTCAATCAAGAAAATGCTACCAATTATATTAAAAACACTAATTTAACAAGATTGTCTTTGCTAGACTCACTATCATGTTGCTCAAAAACGGTTTAACTTTCTTCTGAGGAGATCATGTTATTCAGAATGTTAGGGACTGACAGCCATCTTTTGGCATGCAATATAATCAAATGGTAACTGACGTTTTCATATTGTCTAACTTAATGGAACAGAACAGAAAGTCATACAGTTTTGAATTAACTGATGTGTTCACAAAAGTCTTGAAAGGATTTTAATTGGTCTTGGTTACAACTTCTGAACTTGTTTTTGGATCTGATTTTGCACCTTTTATGTTACGTCTTCCCAAGAGCAATGCTGTAGTTTAGGTTTACTAATAATTATTTCTGTTTAACTTTATATTCAGGCCACACAGGATGAGCTCAAGGCTTCATATCGCCGCCTTTGCATGCTCTACCACCCAGACAAGCACAGAGATCCAGAGCTTAAGAGGCAGGCAGAGCAGCTTTTTAACTTGGTTCACCAGGCCTATGAAGGTATGATGTTTTTGCACACTCAGCCTTTTGCAAAGCAAGCCACTTTTGCTGCATTGTTATGTCTCTGTTTTTACTGTCAAGGAATTTTGTTGTTGTTAAAGGGATCGTACATCCACAAATGCATATTTTGTCATCATTTATTCACTCTCATGTTGTTCCAAACTTGTATGCATTATTTTTTTCTTCTGAACCAAAAAAGGACATATTTTGAAGAATGTTGGTAACCAAACAGTTTCAGTTCCCTTTTGTCTTCCATTGTATTCTTTGTCTATGTAATGGAAGTCAGTGAAAACTGAAACTGATTAGCTACCAACATTCTTCAAAATATCATCTTCTGTGTTCCACAGAAGAAAGAAAGTCATACAGGTTTGGAACGACAAGAGGGTGAGTAAATAATTACAAAATTGTGATTTTTGGGTGAATTATCCCTTTAACAGCCAGCAAGTTTTTAATACCAAGTCATGAATATTTCATGATTGTGATTTATGTTCTTTTGCAGTACTAAGGGATCCACAATCTAGAGCAATCTATGACGTATATGGGAAGAGAGGGCTGGAAGTGGAAGGATGGGAGGTAAGTTGAAGATTCAGAATAGGGGTCGACAGATTATCGTCCTGGCAGTTTATTGACGCCGATATTAAGCATTTTTATGATTATTGGTATCGGTCATTTTCAAAACCGATTTGCCAATAAAATAATTTAATTTTGAAACGCGCTATCTGGCTTTGATGCAGCCTGTCGGAACTCACCACTCTGTGGCCTAGAGCAATCTCCGCCCATCTGATTTGTTGGGAGTCACGAGTCCGACCAATCAGCGTGGAAGGCTAAAGGCACTGAAAGTTTTGCACTTACACACCGAAAGCGCTTGCTAACTGGAGCTGCTTCAGTGATCACACATCAGTTGTCTCTCTAAGGCAGCAGCAGATGTTGCTGACTTTGCAATAAATCACAATCCACTACACTGAAGTTGCAAAACACCTCAATATGATCTATTTATGGTTTCTGCAATGGGGAAATGCGGAATCTAGTCATATAAATGGAATGTACTGTATAACGCGGAATGTCACGGAATTTGTCAAAGTTTGGATGAATTAATCAAAAGTAGGTCAGTACACTTAAATCGACTCTCGCTATGGACTAGTATCTGTAAATATTAAGCCACAAAAAGACTATTTAAATATGAATCGTGCATGTTCTGCGTGTCTCTGTATATGTGAATGGCACAGATGTGCGGTTTTGTTTACTACACGCATACTGAAGTGCGTGACTCACTAAATGAGGACATAAATACATGAACAACATCCCCAGAACTGCTCTGAGAGTTACTTCATGAGCATTTGACAGTTTCATTTGAGTAAAACTATCGTCATATCATATACATAGGCTACAGAAACTTAA